CGCCCTTTGTTGTTCACGGAGGGAAAATTGCTCCTTTCATGAAGATTAGGCAGGTTAAATTCAAAGGCTGGACACTGCGGCCCTGGACGGGACCAGGATTAACCTGTTCGTGGCCGCGCTCTCCATGGGAAAGGCGGACACGCTGCGCCAGGGCTTCCCCATCCCCACCCGCGTTTGCGGGAGGCTGCTGCCCTTTCTCTCGCGTCTGCGCCGGCTGCGCGGAGAGGGCAGCGCTCGGGCAGCGGCGGCCTTTCTCGGGGCAGCGGGGCGGGAGAGGAGCCCTGAGCCGAGAGGCGGCTCTAGGGCCTGCTGGGGACGGTGACACGCAGCGGCCGCTCCTGCCTGTGGGGCTGGTAGAAGGACGCGCGGCCAGTTCCTGGCTTGTGCTACCGCAGCCGGGCGCTGCAGGCACCAGGCGCAACCCAGCAGCTCCCTCCCTCCCTCCTCCCCCCGCCCCCCCCATACACACTGACACGGCCCTTCTCCCAGTAGCTGCACCACAAGCCTAGAGTTTTCATCTTCCTTTTGCCCCCGGTCTCCTCGCCTTGTGGGTTGTGGGGCGGGCCCAGGCTCTGTCACAAAATCCAGCTAAGGGAGGCCCCCAAATTATCTGATTCCACCTTCTGTACCGTGCGGGCCTTTCCCCCGGAAACACACCCAGCTCTGACTCCAGTAAGAGAGCCGGGCACTTCCCTGACACCTTCTCCTTTGCCACTGGTATGAAACCGCTGTCTGGGTCCCGCGTCTCTTTCCTCTCCGCCGAGTCATTGCAATGTGCCGAGCTAAAAGCGGGTTGAGACTGTTCCCTGCGCGTCCCAAACACAACAGCCACAAAGCAGCAATCCAGATTGCTACTAAACATTCAACTGCACAGGACAAGCTACACTGTAGAGAAATGTCTAAGATGGCCAAGCAACGTCTCATCCCTCTACACTTTTGAAAATTAAAAATCAACACACTCATCTTGTGGAAGCACTTAAGAGATGTTTTTTATCTAAGGTACTTCATGGGGGTCTGAAAGCTCAGTTCTCATATCTGGGTTGATTGCGCCAACGCACATGAAATAATGAATACACTTCCGATTGGACCATACACATTTCCTCTCACAGAAAAAAATATCAGCTGGACAATTAATGTATCTAGTCCTCAGAATGACGAAGTACTTCCAAAGTGCAAGAGACATACAGGTCTCCGGATCATCACTTCAATTGACTCTGTGCACGTGGAATGATCAAACTGGGGAAATGCACAGTCAAAAAAAATCAAACTGAAATTATTCGACGAGCTAATAAACAACAATACAGGTATTTGTCATCCGAGGAAAAGAAGCTATTTGTCTTCGATGTCCCATTAGTCGACAGCGGTTAAATAGTGTACCATTTAGAGTATTTTCAGATCCAATCCATTTTGTTTAAAACATTCCTGAACAGAAATCTGTACATAAAGGAATTAAATGTTAATTATTTAAAAATATGCACAAAGTGGCTTTTTATTTTGAGGCCGAAGTAGTTTCTGTTAAGTGCAGTTGATAATAATTACCTCCACATTTCATTGCTAAAAAAAATCGATACTGCCGATTTACACAGATTTGGAAGATGCGTGAACACAGGTTTAAAAAATTCTCAATGAAACCACCACATCACACTCATCTCTAGCTGAATCACAGTATGAGAAAAGTGAATACGTAGAGGGGAAGGGGACTGCAATTGCTTGCAGCTCTGCGTGTCCAGCTCTACGTGTCCTTAAATCATCGCTGTGCAATTCTTTACGTGACCTTAAAAACTGGTCTAGAGTTCAATAACTGACTTACAGACCCTGGGAATCTGACCCGCCCACTTCACAGTACTGTGTACCGGAGCCTCGCGAACATTTTAGGATTTTTAGCCTGAAAAAATATCTGGGTCTTTTTTTACCATCCACATTTCTGGATTAAGAACAACAACCCGGATGTTTAAATGCTCTGACCTTAATAAAAGGTAAGCCAGGTTCCAGTGCAAAATGTGTCCTCTAGAGACATTCCCCAGAATAATGATTACAGCTACATGGCAAATTAACCAAGTGTTAGCTACAATACCTGCTACAAATTAACCAAAGCCTGTAATCACAGTCAGCGGAACAATTCGGGACGGTGCCCAAACGAACACTTCCTCTGTTTGCCGGCAAGCACATTTTCAGACATTCACAATGGACATGTGAAAATAACAGGTGACTCGAGCAGAGCCGATCTGGAGAATGCAGCGGTTAAAATACAAAGGTTCTTTACCTTGTGATTTTCTCTGCCAGTGAGTTGCTTTATTGTCCCTCCCCAGCCTGTGTCCATAATGCAGAGCCAACCCACACCATAACAATGCTCCATCCGTGCCGGGGCCAGTACTGGAGGGCTCGTGGTCTCGGAGATTTTTTTTTTTGGGGGGGGTGAGGGGATTGCATTAAAACTTACATTAGGCATATTTTAATTTGCAGTGTCTGTCCTTCGCCTGGTTGCGGTGCTGAGATCCCAGTGTGTTGTGTCTCCCTCCCAGCATAGCATTTACTCACGTTCAGGAACAGCCAACAGAGACCCCAAAAGGGAACTAATTGGGCTTGTGTCGGTATTGGCTAATTTCTGGTAATACTCTATAAATTCTCCTTTTCCTCCTTACCTTCCCCCCTGCCGGCGGGGTTTTTAGAACGCTAACTCTGGAGGTACAGTAGCCTGCTTTCAGCTGGGGAGCTGATGGGTAGCTTAGTTCAGCGCTAACCTCAGAGTCGCCATGTACACAATGAAAAACTTCACTCCGGCTATAAGAAACAGTTGACGGGTCCCTCCCATCCCCCAGACCCCGGCAGGACTGATTCTGTTTTGAAAAGTAAACGTGTTCCCACCAAATCCAATCCAACTCGAACTGTCTCTAAAGTGAACTTGTGCTGAAGGTGAAGGGGTCACGGCTTTGAGCCGCAGCGAACTGCCCGGAGCTTCATGCTGTATTAACCACACTCAAAACGAGCCCCCTTCTAGACCCTCTTCCCTCTGCAGATGAATAATGGCAACATCTCTCAGATATAATACAATCACATCTGCAAGGATAATAAACCCAGCCTCGCTACTCCTTGGATGGCTCCTGTCAGCGAATTATACTATATACATCGTGTGTCTATAGACATAGCTAGCGCGCACACACACACACACACACACACACACACACAGTTTTACAGTAACAGCTTCTTAACGGGAAATCCGTGTGTCCCTGGCTTTACTGAGCGATTCCTCCCCTCGCCCACCGCGCTGCCCATGTCTGGAAAGTGCACACAAGAACAAGGAGTTGCAACCCCACTCGCCCGGCGGACTTTGATTTAACGTCTTGGTGTCTGGTCCCGCCGTCAGCCCAATAACAACGAGCAAGAAAGTTTGTGCCTTGTACCGAGGTGACCTGAGACACTCAGCTGTCCCGCCTTTTACTTTGGAAAGTGTGTGGACTCGACACAATTACAGCTCCTCTACTTCAATGGACTTCTAGCTTTCCAAAGACGGCAGGCTCCTTGAGCTATTGTGATCTTATTCATGCCAGAGATTTAGCAGAAAAAATATATGTTAAATCTAGTTATGTGTCGGGTAAGCACAGCTCTTTGGCGTGCAAAGGCATCTTGAGTCAAACTGCAGAAGAGCAGAATCCAGACCCAGAAACTTTTTTTTACTTTTAATGGGTCTCAGTCTATGAAAAATAAGTTACAAATTCTTGCAACAGTAGCTTTGCATGTACTTATTTTTCTCCCATGTCCAGACGGGGTCGTCTATTGAATAAGGCTCTTTTATTCTGTATGGGACAGGGGATTTGTGGCCATGGTCCCGCTTTTATTCCTCTCTCTATGGAAACCCAGATCATGGGGAGAAATATGCGAGGCTGAATAAAGAAAAGCAGCAGAAAGGACCGCTTGAGAGCGGCATCTGTTACACTTGGGAAGTTAGACTGACAGGAAAGAGCTAAAGAAACCCTCTCCAGCAGATTAGTTAGAACAGCAAGAAGATTTAACTATATGCAGATAAAAAGACTCTAAAATAAAGCATATTTTCCTATAGGCGAGATCAGGAGCTCAGCGTTATGGAGCTGGGGTCTGGCCTAGTTACATTCAAAAAATATTAAAATCCGATATTCAGGATTTTATTTCCCCGTTAAAGGCTCTACTTTAATTAAGCGACTGATCTGAACATTCATTTTCAAGAGAAGAGAGACTGGGGAAATTATTTTAGAATCTAGAGTGCAAATTAATTTTAAATAATTTAGTTACATTTATAATAGCGTCTTAGGTTCCCTCTCCCCAGGCATCGGGCATCGGTAATATTTATTTTAAAAGTCTTCTGTAATCTGGCTTCATATGCTTCCGTACCTAGCATCTGAAATCAGCTGCAGTCTGCATGGCTGCAGTCTGACTAGGAATTTTGCCGTCAGAAACGTCGCTTTTACACGGGCAAAGGGACTCCCATTCTCTTTTGCAGAGACATTTTTCATCTTCCGACCCCGAAACTGACCCTCCACGACACGCTTTCCAACGACTTTCCAAGAGAGCCACCTCCCTTGCACCTGAAAACTTTCCCGAAGTTCTATTTTGGATTGAAGCGGGGGAGCAAGCCACCCACTATCTACAGGGGCAGTGACCCCCCTTCGCTGCAAAAATGGCCCCCAGATATACAACTACCTAAAATAAATGCCTAGGTTCCAAGCGACTGAATTCGGAGCACCAGCAATACAAGAATGACGTTACCCTTTCTGCAAAACCACATTCCCAATTCGATGGAAAACAGAGGAAATGAGCATCTTTCGCCATCACTTACTTTTTAGAAATATCGAAATTTATTTCAAACAGCTCACCACACGCATCTTTTCCATAATTGCATTCACATTTACAAATAGCAGCTGTGCTGGGTTAGGCTTCGATGAGAAATTAGTATTAATTATTATTATTACTATTGCAACAAGGAAGCTGATGCTGCTTAGCTATAAAGGAATCAGAGGAAAGCTCACCTTGTTTATATATATATATATCTACATTCATTTTCTTGATTTTTCTCCAGATCTGTCTTCTCAGAGAAACTAATGCCTTAATGACTTTCTGGTAGCTGCAAGCCTTCTTTTATTTCTGCTAAATATATGAAAATGTATGCAAATTTAAATCAAGCTTAACCTAGGAGCTCTTGCAATATATTTAATGGAATTTCAAACCAATAAGGGAACTCTGATGCTGCCTTCTGTAAGTGCAAATATAATTACGCAGCTAGGTTACCTCCAAAATTATGCAAGGAAAGGTCATTTTTTAACTTCAGAGATTTTCTAAGGTATTAGGCGTTTAATTTTCTCTGCTTGAGCGCTACAACAAATCTGAAATATCCTGATTTGTCTAACTCTATTCCTTAGCAGAACATTTGAAAAGGAAGCATGAAACACAATGCCCCACATCCTAATTTACAGATTATTTGAAATTAAATTTGAGAGAAAATTTAGCAGTTCCCATTAGACTCTCGTTGTTTTGTCTGGTCACCAAAATATTTTTGCCATTTCTTTCTTGCACAGAGCAACAAAAAACCCATATACCTAGGGTAGTGTTTAGTGAAGATACACCTCATTAATTTCCTTTCTATTTCAAACTTTGATGGAGAAGAGAAATCACTATAATTTATTTAAGCAAATATTGCAAAGTACCCTTTTATTTTCTAAAGGGGCAAAACGTATCCCAGTGAACTAAATTATCCGGAAAGAGGAAATATATTGCACATATTCTGGAGTCTTGAGAAGTGTCGCCCTAGAAGGAGAGCCTGCTGGCTGTGGGGTTTAGAAGTTGTCGAACTGCTGATATGAAATGACATTTAATAGGCATAAAAGCATGAATTCCAGTTGACCAGAAAACCGGGGAGGTAAATTTGAGAATAACTGAGAGATAGTAATAGCTGGTAAGATTTGTAATTGAATCAGGGAAGACCTTAACTATTGGTTAACAAACAACAACATAAAAATTAAATTTGTAATAAAGATATGCCCTCTAGCAAATATTCCTCTTAGACTGTATTAAATCCTATTTATAGGGCTAGGCATATTCATTAATTTTCCTGATTACAGGATATGTAACTTAAGTGTAAAGGTTTAGAGCAGGCGGCTTCTAGCTGTCTGGTGGGGGGGGGGAGGTAGATTGGGTGTTTTGTTTGTTTGGAGGGATGTTTTTGTTTATACAAAGCCATCGTTTATCATCTCACAATTACCTCCAGAGTGCCTTTGCGATGCTGGACCGACTGGGGAGTCCGTATGAACGGTGCTAAGGACAGATTGTCAGTCTTGGGTGCTGGCATTTAACCTCTGGTTTTTGCTGTACCTGGAATTAATTACTACAAATTTAAACCGTGCCCAGCCTGCCCCCTCCCCTCTCGTGAGATCTTAGACACAAATCTTGGCATGCAGGGAAGAAAGAGTTAAACAAATGAACCGTGGACAGCCAGCCAGCAGCAACCAATGGAGCCTAAAGATTGATTCACTTCCTGCTTCAGACTCACTTTAACTCCTGGGTTTCACAAACCTAATTTGGACTGAGCGACCTGCCTCTTCACCCCTCATTGGCGCAGCCACGGCTTCCCGGCAGACGAAATGTTGCCATTGGCCAGCAGAGCTGCCAATAACTCCGTGGTTGCTGATTTGGCTCCCTTGCCTGGTAGATGTCAAAGGCTGAAGCTGCTCCCTTTGCCACATTATAACTAGTAGGGGATCTACACCAGCCATGGCCACAGCTGCCTCTAATCCCTACAGCATTCTCAGTTCCAGCTCCTTAGTCCATGCAGACTCTGCGGGCATGCAGCAAGGGAGCCCTTTCCGAAACCCTCAGAAACTTCTCCAAAGTGATTACTTACAGGGCGTTCCTAGCAATGGGCATCCCCTCGGACACCACTGGGTGACCAGCCTCAGCGATGGGACTCCCTGGTCCTCCACGCTAGCCACGAGCCCTCTCGACCAGCAAGACGTGAAGCCAGGAAGAGAAGACCTCCAGCTTGGCGCAATCATCCATCACAGGTCGCCTCATGTGTCTCACCACTCGCCCCATACAAATCATCCCAACGCGTGGGGAGCCAGTCCTGCCCATAACTCATCGATAACCTCCAGCGGGCAGCCTATTAATGTCTACTCCCAGCCTGGCTTCACAGTCAGTGGCATGTTGGACCATGGGGGGCTTACACCACCTCCAGCCTCCGCCACTACCCAAAGCTTGCACCCGGTGCTGAGGGACAGCGCCGACCACGGGGATATCGGCTCCCACCACTGTCAGGATCACTCGGACGAGGAGACGCCGACATCCGACGAGTTGGAACAGTTTGCAAAGCAGTTCAAACAAAGGCGGATCAAGTTGGGATTCACTCAGGCAGACGTGGGGCTCGCGCTGGGGACTCTCTATGGCAATGTCTTCTCCCAGACCACTATCTGCAGGTTCGAAGCGCTGCAGCTCAGCTTTAAGAACATGTGCAAACTGAAACCGCTGCTAAACAAGTGGCTGGAGGAGGCAGATTCTTCCACGGGCAGCCCGACCAGCATTGATAAAATAGCAGCCCAAGGCAGGAAACGAAAGAAGAGAACCTCGATAGAGGTGAGTGTCAAAGGGGTGTTGGAAACTCATTTTCTTAAATGTCCCAAACCGGCAGCCCAAGAGATCTCCTCCTTGGCAGACAGCCTGCAGCTAGAGAAAGAAGTGGTGCGTGTCTGGTTTTGTAACAGAAGACAAAAAGAGAAAAGAATGACTCCGCCAGGGGAGCAGCAGCAGCATGAGGTTTATTCTCATAACGTGAAAACAGACACATCCTGCCATGATCTTTGACTATAGGGCTCGGCTCGCAGACAGGACTGGGAACAGCGCGGATTTTCTAAGAGGGGTTTAACTTATGCTTAAAGAGGAAACAAAAAAAAATACACAAATAATCGAAGACTTAGAGCATGGGGCTTCCTGCTCTTCCGCCTAGGCAATATTTTCTCTCAAACCTTTTCGCTGATCAGTACATATTGTTTACTATCAAACAAGGTTTGTTTTCGGTCTCCACTAGGAAGAAAAAAAATAAAGACAGATGTGTGCCTATGAATAACCTTCCAGCGCCTTGGTTATATCAGCTGTATTTCAGGTGAATCTGTTTTACAATAGACTAGTTTTGCATTTTTAAAGACTTATATAGCGTTTTTTAAATGTCTGAGGTGTTTTACTACAAACTGTACACAATATTTGTGGCATAATTTGTACCGAATAGATCAGTCATCATTCCTTTCCCCCGCTCCCCCCTCCCCAATCGTGTATTGGGCACATCACTGCTACGGTAGTGGAGAGAAGGGATCGTTTCCTTTTCTCTTCTTCCTTCCCCAATTTCAATACTAGAGGAGGGGCCCTTTCTGCACCCCAAAGACAGGAAGTTGTGCCTCCTTTGACTGGAACACACAGCTGACTGCCCCCTTCCACAGTATGAAGAATACCAGACGGATTTGATCCACGGAATGATCAAATTGTAATTCTGGAAAGGGGGGAAACACTATTCCCTGCTCCCCCCCTTTAGGGAGGAGGGGGGCAAAGAGATCTGAAATTAAGCATTGCAAATAAGACGTGTCCCTTCCTTTCTTTCTGAAGATGTGTTGGGTTTCTGACCAGCGGCAGGCTGCGAAGGTCTGTAGTAAAACACCTTTCTAATTCTGCGCTTTGGCTTCAGAAATCAGTTTCTCTGTATTTTTGTTTCAATATTAAAGAGGAATTCTGAGGTGTCTAGATGAATTTCGGGGAAATGCCCGCATTTGATTCATGCTGAGCTTATTTTCGTCTCACGGGGAAATGCTAGATTTGTTGAAAAGCTTTTTATTAAAAAAAACAAATAAAAATAAATAAAAAGGCAAGCGAATACAAATGCTAAAGAGCGTAACCATTTTTTCTGGTATATGAAGGAGCTTTGCAGTCTCCTTCCCTTCTTCCCGACCTTCTATAGAGCTGTACTGTGTGTGTGTGTCCACAGATATGTAGTATGTATGTGTGTAAATATGTATATACATACTATATATGTGGGAGTGTATACAGACGTATGTGTATATCTCTCTATGCACACCCCATGGTAAATAACATATTATAAACACACACAGAACACAAATATTTATCCAGTCATACTTTATATTGTGTCTCCATAGACGTGGTGTACTCTGGGGTGGTTGTGTGCGTGTGTATAAAATATAGTGTTATTTATGTACGCGCTCACACAGATCGCTATCTGGAGACCCACACTCAAATCCATACTACCTAAAGGCAAGCCGTCCCTACCTCCCCGGTTTTTGCTGGGCTCTGGGAGGGGAGCGGAACCTATTGGTAGCTAGCACGGAAGGCCCATGTTGCCCCTGCTTTTGCATCCTTTGAAACTGCAGCTAAATTGGCAAATTGCATTAGTGCGCTCCCAGCTCCCCGCCCCCAAGCATTAAGATTTTTATTTTACCATTTCTATTTTTCAAGTATTTTTCAGTACGCGCTAAAATCTCGACACTGAGGACCTGACTATTTCTGCCAACTTTATACCTGTACAGTTTTGTATATTAAACGTTTTTTGAAGTTATTAATTTAAAGACAGATCATTTAGTTTATTCATTTAGTAACTGATGTATAATAAACGCTATTTTTCATTAAAGGTTGCTTTTTCAACTATTTTATTCAAAATTGCCTATTGCCGTTGCCAACGATTATTTATTTTCAATAAATTCCGCGTTATGTTTAAAAAAAATGGTTTCAAAAAGCCGAAATGGGTGTAAAAAATACACAATTCGCTGTAATGTTTGATCGTCGACCAGTTTTAGTCAAGGGGTTTATATGGACGCAATATTTTATTGTTGTAAAAGGAAAAAAAGGTTTAAATAAACATTTTTACAAAAAACGTCGCGTTACTTGCGTGCTGTATGAACTGGGACAATTACAATAAACCCTAGCTCCGGCCGGTGCCTTCGGCTCATTTGAGGCCCTATTTATTATGATGATTTATTTTTTTTATGTGGGGTTTAATAGCGATCCCGGTATTTCAGGGTCTCCAGCGTCTCGGATGAGAGTCCCTGAAAAGCCGAGCAGAGGCCCCAGGCCATAGGCACAAACCTATTAGCTTTCTGGACTCGGGTTGCGGCTTGAGGCCTTTGTTTATGTTTGAAACACCAGCGCGCTGTGGTCTGGTCTTTCTCCTAGTCCTAGGGAAGAGGTCGCGGTAGCGAGCGGCACGCGGAGGGATGCCCAAGCGGAAGAAACTGACACCTCTGGAAAAATATTTCACCTGTTTTCTTGCCGCCTTACGCCCTCCTTATCCTCCCCCCACCAGGTAGACAACCTTGGCATTGCACTTGAGGTCTGTTCACATTTGGGAAGCTGTGGTCTGGTCTTTCTCCTAGTCCTAGGGAAGAGGTCGCGGTAGCGAGCGGCACGCGGAGGGATGCCCAAGCGGAAGAAACTGACACCTCTGGAAAAATATTTCACCTGTTTTCTTGCCGCCTTACGCCCTCCTTATCCTCCCCCCACCAGGTAGACAACCTTGGCATTGCACTTGAGGTCTGTTCACATTTGGGAAGGGATGGCGTCGGATTCTGTAGCTGTGAAGTAGGCGTGTGGCTGGAAAGAGGAACCGAACGTAATCATGTTAAACGGGGATCTTTTCCCATATCAACAGACATTTTCTGATCGTCTAGCGCGGTGTCATTGTACCCTGAATTAATACTGTGGCTACAGACTATTATGCGTTAGGCAGACACACTTTACACAACTGCATGTACACACGACACACACTGCACCTGCCTATTGTACGTGCAGCTTGGACACATCCAAGTCGAAAGGCTGATCGGTGGTTAGGTTTATAATAAATATCATTGTAGCATTTGGTTGCCGGTAAATCAGGGATCAATTATGTGAGTGGAGGCTCTTTCTTAAATTCATTTCATCCAGACATTGAACTGATTTTTATAAAATCATAACTATTCTGCTGGAAGGAAGGTGAAGAATCTATTCCCCTCCCCTTGAAGAACAGTAGGAAATAGCATGAATAAAGTTTCTTTTGTTACATATTTCTTGCCACAGCTCCAGGTTCCCACCCTCCCCATTTCCCTTAGAAA